TGTTTTGTCTCGCCAGCATCATCGATGTACATGCATGCATGAGCTTGACACGCACGTAGGATACGTTGTTATCATGGCAGCGTCTTGGCAGGTAGCTCCATGAAGGAACGAATGAATCAATGTGCGCGGCTGTGCCTGCTCCGGCACCTCATGGATGACGTGCGCCTCTCTGCAGCCGTGTCGCCCCAGAAAGGAAACGAACGCGCGCGCGACCAGTTCAAACAGTGGATAAACGAGTCCACGCAAAAAAAAAAAAAATCTTGTGAAGAGAGACTCTTGTGGCCAGCAAAAGCTAGCAAAAAATTTGTCTCAACCCAACATTTTTTTCTTCTGAAGAGAGACTCTTGTGGCCATCGACTGCGGACCAAAGAAGCAACGACGATGGGCGACGCCGCCTTGGTAAGGCATTTGTGACCAGCCGTGTACGCAGAGGAGCACATGCCTGTTGCATCTCCTTCTCCTCCGGTCCTCCCCTTGGGCCGCCACAACGGGGGAGCGCGAGGTTGTGGGATGCGATGACGTTGGTGGCAGAGGATGAGAATGTGAAGGCAGAGGGAGGTGGCGGTAGTCAAGGAGACCAGGGAGGCTAACAGGCGACGATGCCATGATGGCATATGACTGACGGGAAATTCGGGGAAGAAGTTAGACACATTGACATGTAGGCCCCACCTTGAGGAGAATTTATGTAGCCCAACATTTAGCGTTTTTGTGTTTGTATGTGGACTGGAAAGCCTTCATATATTTTGGTGATCGTACTCCTGACGATGAAAATATGGAGCATACATGCAAGCGAATTTGCTTTATAATATAAAGCGGAAGGAAACCCTTTTTCTTACTACACATGCAGGCGAAGATATTCGAGCAATTTCGAGTGAAATTTCCGTGCTCCTCGAGCAAGCGCGTCTTTTATTTTTGTACTAGTAGCAGTAGTTAAACAAGAAATTCTACTACTAGTACAATTTCTTGGCCTGCCAGCGCCACCAACGTACATGCATGCATGCCTGAGGAGCTCACGCAGGAGTACGTTGTTATCATGGCATGTCAGTATATTAATTTTGGCACGTAGCAGTGCCGTCCATGAACGAACGAACGAACAAACGGACGAACGCGCGCGCGATCAGTTCAAATCAAACGGAGAGTGGATGATAGACGAGTCCACGCAACAGCAACAGCACCACACCTTCCGTTTCTCCCAAGAAAAAAAAGCTTATCACGTCAGCCGTTGACTTGACTGGCTAACTAAGCCCCAGATGGAGATCTTCCACGGGCTAAACGTGTCGGCCGATAGAGTCAAAACTAGCAATAGATCGTATCCATCCCGCCCGCCCACGCCGTTTGGCGACTCCACCACACACCATTATTGGCCCGTATACAACGCAATAGAAATTCCAATAAACTCTAGAACAAGCCGTGTGGATGGATATCCCACCATCATCTACCAGACGGCTGACCCAAAGATTCAGCCTTCCGACCCAGGAGTACCACCCCAAAACTTGTTTCAAACCGATTTTTTTCTTTTCAAAATGGGATGAGAAGCTGGCCAGTGGATGAGGATAAACATGGACAATAATTGAGAGGAAAAAACAGGCAAGGATCTTGGGAGGTTGACCTAGAGAGCGGAGGACGCCGGCCGGCCGCGGGGCTCTTGAATGCCGGGCAGTTGAGTGTCCTGCGATGCGTGTCCTAGCGGCGGTAGGTCGGGCCATCGATGCCGTGTGTCTCGCTGACCGGCGGGCCCCGCGTGGCGGCCGGGGCGGGACCCGTCGAAGCGCGCACGGCACCCCCACCCACTCCCCCCCCTCTCCGTGTG